ATATAATAAAAGAAGAATACAATTACAGTTAAGATTAAAAGAATGAATGAAATGAAGAGATGACCTTTAACTTATGCGGTAACATAGATGATGTAAGCTCAGACAGATCGTACAGTATATAGAATATAAGTGGTTTGTCGAAGGAAGAATATCTTTGGGTTTTGGACTGTTGGTTAAACTATTTTTTTTTTCTGTCAATCAATTAATCAACTAATTTGATAAAATATTTGTTAGTTGCAGCCCTTCTGTATTATGTGAGTGTATACACAGACACTCACACACACTAAGGCAGGACTGGACTAATGCATAAAGTACACATCAATGATCCTGGGGGAGGTTGTTGCAGTGATTCTTATCAGAGCATCGGCAGAGTCACCTTGACTGTGACTATAACAGGACATGCTAAAATACCAGTTCATTAATTTACACCTTGCATATAAAAGCATTTAGCTGTTATCAATTCATTGTGAAACGATGGCCTGACCTTGCCCACCGCTTTTATGGTCAATGCAATCTAGGGAAACAACCCCTCTGTGCTTTTGGCGCAGTGTTGCAGTGTTGTTATACATGGCACTTAGTAGCCCAGTCTGTTCTTGCCTAACTTTTATGGCTTTGCAAAATACAAATGCAGTATCATTATGGTACACCCAAGCCAACCCACAACTACACAACCACAAATTGGTGGAAGTGATGTAAGGAAAAGACTAATCTAGTCAACATCATGCTAAAGAAGTTAACCTAAATGGTGTTGTGAAATGCTGATCACTCAATTTCATCATCCTCTGACGGAGACAATGATAGAGAAAATTTCATCCTCACACTAAGAAGCAGGTCTAGTCATTAACTCAAGAGTGGATTGACACAGAACTGATACCAGATCCGAAAACGTCAAAGCACCACAGAATCAGGACAAGATGCAGATGTGACAGGACAGAGAAGGCTCATGAAAGACCTTTTTAGTCTGAAAAGACAAATATCACTTTGCCGGCATCACTGTTAGTGCCATAGGTATTTAATTCACAGCATTGAGCTGCTTTCTCCATATCCGTTTAAATTTATCGTAATTTCATAATTTCAAAACATTATTTTATGATTGATTATAAACAGCCTGATACATAGATGTCACAGCACATTCCACCAAAAATTAACGACAGCAGGACGCCCACAGCAAGCAAGTCAGCCGTTCGAAGTTGGAATTAGTGACATGTGTCTTGCTCAGTATGCAATGTACATCTGCTTCACAGCAAATCTGCTTAATCTACATCCCACTTTAGCCTTTCAACATCCCTCCAGGCATTGAACTGACAGCTTTGAGGCTGCGAATGCCATGTTCATGGTAACAGAGCCCCAGTGTGGAGCCAGATTCAGCTCGGGCTGATTTGCTGCATGGCTGTGCATATCAGCGGAGCAGGCTGAGGAGCAGCAGGGATGGGTTCAGGGTGCTCAGGCTCTAGTCATTACATCTATCACTGCCACAGCTGGGGGGTTGGAAACATGGCTGGAGAGATGGATGTGGGTGTGAGGTTAAAGGTTAGGTAAGGACAGAGGATGTTGTGAGTGAAAAAAAAATGAGGAAGGATGCAAGTACTCATTCTTGTCAGTAGGTTCTTCTTAAATTATCTTTAATTGACTTGTTATAACATCTTTTTCATGCTCTCCTATGTTTTGAATAGGAGGAAGGCCATCATTTACAAAGATGGAAGGAAACAGACTAAGAGAAGGAGGGAGGGAACGTAGGAGGGGGTGGAAGGAAATGATGGTGTGAAGCATGCATGCTCTCAAGACATGCCTGCTGTGATGCTCTGGTGCTGAATCACTGCAAGCCAGCATACAGCTGTGTGTCATTCAGCAGCTGAAGAGCGGTGCTATAGGACATATGAAAGCTGAACCTTATTTCATATGTAGGGCTTGGAGTGTAATGTAAACCTAACTTAACTACTTCCCTGCCCTTAAACACTGGACTGTTTAAATAATAAAATACTGAAAATAAAATTCCAGTTGTGGAAGTAAAATAGCAAACTAGCCTGAATTTGCAGCCATCATCGTCAAAAATAGTTTAATAGACATTGAAATCTGGATGCACCCAAGTATGAAAATACTAAATACATATTTCTCTGGCATTTGCATTATACTAGCAGTCATGCTTGTTCAACCTTTTGGGAAATTTGCTTATTCACTGTCTTGCCGAGAGTTGGTTGAAAAGACTGATACTACTCTATGTCTGTTTGTTACATATGAAGCTACACTCAGGACATGGTTAGCTTAGCTTAGCATAAAGAGTGGAAACAGGGGGAAACAGCTTGACTCTGTCCAAAAGTGACACAGTCTGTCTATACGCACCTCTAAAGCTCACTAATTAACACATTATATCTTGCTTATGTTAATCTATACAAAAACCAAAGTGTAAAAACGACATGTTGTGGTTTTACGGTGAGTTACCTGATGTAACTATTTCTTTCTGAGCCCTGGGAAAGAGAGTCCAGCACACAACCCCCCATTAAACCACAGTTTGCTGTTTTTAAATTAGCTTTGGAAGGAGAAGCTAGCTGTTTCCCTGTTTTAAGATTATTGTCTTTTGGCTCTAGAGTCATATTCAACAGAGACATAACAGTGGTATGAATCAAAAAAGCAATACGCCGATTTTCCCGACATGCCGATTTCTATTTCTTCCGCCAGATAGTTTGGCGGAAATTGAGAAGAAATAAGAAAATTGGACCACATAAATACTAGAAAAAAATATTTATTATTATTTTACAGCTTTGTAAAATACAAAATGGGTTATTTCAAAGCCAAAGCCAGAGACAAAAGCATTTGATTGAGCACATGCAAAGAGCAGAAACCTTAGTTTTCCTTCTCATCACATTCAACAACAGCAGATTTTTCTCCAAACAAAACAAACTAATTAGGATTTACCACATCATGTAGTACATGAGAACATGTATGGGATGTTATTTTTTGCATATGAGCCCCTGAGGCTGTATTATATCAACAGCAAAGCCTGACAATGCCAGCGGCAAGAACGGAAGTGGGTTAGTTTCGTACCACATAGTTCCAGTGTGAGTGTAGGACTGACTCTTACTATGTCAAAATAGTGACAGAGACAAAAAAAGGCACAAAAGGCACAAAAAGAGACATGGATGAGGAGCAAGGGTGAGAAATGAAGTCAATATTGATCTAAATTGCTTTATTAGAAACTGGATGATTAACATCATCAATAAAGCCTGACTTGACCTAAAGCTGTAGGCCACACATCAAACCTGAATTATCGGAGACGTCATGTAATGCTTTATGCCACCTTGTCCTGACTCTGTGCCCCTTGACCACTCCAGTCACTGCAGACACTCTCCAACTCAATCACGGTGTCACCTTTCTGCAGCCGGAAGAGGAGTCAGAGAGGGAGGAATTGTGATTTTTCAGTCTTACTGACAAATTTCATTTTGTGGACTGTATTTGCATCACGCTGGCATGAACATAAAACATGCTACTGGACTTGACTACCAGCCTCACAGCTGCTGTTGGCTTTCATCCACTGATCTACTGTGATTACCAGAGGCAGCGTGAGAGGCAGTGTTTATTTTCAGGTGTCTGAACTGGCTGGGAAGATTGTTTTCATGGCCCTGTCTGTGGAGAATCTGCACGAGGAAACAGAGACTGATCAAAATAGATGAGCTGAAGTAGTTTCTCTCTCTTTCCCTCTCCTTTGAGTCAATACTTTGACTTCCGGTTAATGTGGAGAGAATTTTAACTCCCACGAAGATTCAATTAATTACCAGAAACAGGACGGTTCTCACGTCTTTGTTACTTGCAGTATTGCATAAATGTAAAAGTACAGAGTCACAGGCCAAATATTATATCCTTTCTATCTTTTTCTCTCTTTCTTCCTCTATCCCACTTTCTTATTCTTCCTCTCCCCTGTGCACTACAAGCAATAATAACGGTGGTTTTAACATCATTATGTATTTGTTTCGAATTCCCATCAACACTGGGAGATATATGCTTATAAACCCAGAGAACTGGAAATAAATTGCACTCTGGGAAAATTGTACATAAAACACAACTAGTAACTAATCAACTTTAATGACACTAAATTAGATTTTAGTTGCATTTCTATAGAGTAGTATAGTTTAGATGTATCAGAATAGTATAAAATTTAAATGCAAATCTTGCCTTAACTGTAAATACCACTTTATTCTGTAATTTTAACACAAAATTGCAAGTCAGTTAGATTTGCAGTGTAAATTTAAATAGAAAACCTCAAAATGACATAAAACATAAAATTTAATAATTTTGGTTTATACAATTATTATGCCTTTCTTATTACTTTTAAAAAACAAACCAGTGATTACTGCTAAATGATTGTGAAATTTCTAAATATTTTTTATTGATTAGAAATATTTTACCTAACTTCACCTTTAATCATTCACAAAAATAAACTGTAATGATGATACACAGCTTGTAGGTGAGAGGTGGTATAACACTATTCATACACACAGTTTCAAAGTGATTTACAGACATTTTGTACAAGAGAATTACAGACACAAGAGAGGGGACTTAGAGAAACCCTTTGGCATCATCTTGGTAGAGGCTAAAAATCAATACAATACTCTGTACTACTACTCATGCTTGGAATGAAAGAAATCCCCAAAAAATATTCAAGCCAAATAATGCAAATAATTATCACATGATCAGTCATGCAATCTGTGCCATCTGGTTCATAGTCTTTGCACCTCTTAAATATCTCCAGGATATCAGGTATAGCTTGCTAGTTCACATCAGATCATAGCTTAGTTGCCTATTAGGGCTGGGCTTCCTGCATGGGTGAGATAATCGGAACTGCTACCTTGGTCTGACATAGCCCCGGGCCTGTACTTGTTCCTACTTTCCTTCACCACCTGCCTCCCTCGTTCTGTCTCTTCCTCCCCACACACGGAACCAGGACGTGGCACTGTGACTATGTGAGAGCACGGATTGTCTTCAATACAGAAACACAAATACACACTTTGTGACGACCACATTTTTGTGGCGTTTTGTGCTGTTTTTTCAAGGTGTACTCCGAAAACATTTGCTTGTTTCGATTACTAATTACTAACATCGTCATTAGAATTTTTACATATATATGCATGCAACTGATATCCCATCTGCTTTCTTTGCCTTTCCAGTACAAGCAAGTGGAGCAATACATGTCCTTCCACAAGCTTCCAGCAGACATGCGGCAGAAAATCCATGACTACTATGAACATCGCTACCAAGGCAAAATCTTTGATGAGGACAACATCCTGAGTGAACTCAACGACCCGCTCAAAGAGGTGAGACACCTTTTCTCTTAAGACCCTCAACTGAATTCAGGCATTGGTTCTTTCAGAAGATCCTAAAGTTAAGAACATTTATAAATCTTTGTGAGAGTTTCCATTTGAAGGTTTTATTTTTGGAACAGGCAAAAAATACACTCCCCTCAAATCAAAAGGAAAAAAAAGAAGTTCTTGACAGGTAAGCTGTCACACAGTGGTTTTAGTTTTGGAACATGAATGAGTTTATTCCCCCAAGATGAAGAGTGAATCTTCATTTAGCACCTTTAAGCGCGCAGTACCTGAAACTGAAATACCAACACCTGTCATCTCCCCTTACAAGGTCACAGAGAAAAACAACAAAACGGATTCTCCTCTCCTCATCCGTGAAGACATGAATATATTCTGTACAGAAACATTGCTTTTGACTCACTTTTCTTGGTGATAAACAACCAGAACTAAACAGAACAATCACTCTTTTGATTGCAATATTTACAAGTCTGAAGTCTCCAGTATAGCCCAGTAGCAGAGTACAAAGAGAGGTAATGACAAGGAATTATGAATTTTATTGTGGAGTGAGTGACCAGCTTTTAAGTTCTTGGCTGACCTCCTCATGTCAGCAGATTACATGGGTAATTATGCATAGGTGCATGGGAGAGAAAAAGGAATAAAAAGCAAAGCAAGCGTAGGAATCGTGACCATCTCTCATGTAGCCCCATTAAGTCACCTTGCAGAGTCGAACAGTGAGGCGAGGGGAGTCGCTGCACAATCCCAGACACTCACAGGGAGGTGCAGGGATTTAAAGGTATGACTTACTACACAGAAAACTCTGCAGGCTTAGTTCACCGTGCAGAGCAAGCAAAGTTAAAATCTGCATAGAGACAGCTATGCCCATGGGACTCCTGGGTAAAAACAAAATGAGTCGCGCCAGAGCAAAACAGGACATATAAACTAGCTTACACTGCCATTTCACTGAATAACTGCTCTGATATTTCAGTTATGGGTTATTTCAACAGTCTATTCCTCCCAGATAATGTAGAGAGTTAATTCAGACACAGAACATGTAATTGTCTGTAAATTTCATTTTCTACACTGTCAACTATTTTCCAGTAAGGCAGTCCTGTTTCCTGTATGAAAACCCATTTCCAGACATGAAATGGTAATGCAGGCGAAAATAAAGTTTCATTTGTCTTCTGTTATGCTTCTGATTCCAGATACTGTGGTTTTGCTACTTTCCCCCCAATTTTTGCTGACTTCAGTCCACCACACTGGAATATGTAAAAAACAAGAACCTAGTTCATACAGCTAACCAAACAACTTTTGGTCAGGCTCACACTTTTAATCTGGTAACTGTTACAACAGTACCGTTAACTCTATGGAGTGCAATGATTGCCTTCTCCCTATGTCAGGTATGCGGCCTATTTATTCCCTAGTCTCTAAAAAGGAAGGTTTTTGTCTGATCGTCCATTATAATTTGGTCATAATTTTGGAATGTGAAAGAAAGCAACTGTACTGCCCCCTTTTACCAAAGATCTGCTAGCTATCCAGCTGTTGTTATTTCCAGGTTTTATCCAGGTTCTTCGGGTCTTAGACCATCCTCTTAGAAAGCTAGATGACTAATGCCAACCTTCATGCAAGGGCCAATGCCACCTATCTAAACGACCTTGCTTTTGCCAACTCCTATTTAAATCTAATTAGACTAAAAGCAACTGCACACTTACACTTGCATACAAAAAATAATAAATTACAGCTTACTCAATTAGATGCGTCTCAATTTGTCAGTGTGGCACCTTGGAGTTTGGAGAGATAAAGGACGGGGCACTGGAGTTTGTTTTTCAATCTCTGCATCCCTAGCCTGTATATTAGTCTCTAGCTATATAGCTGTCATAAATCAATTAATGCAGCTTCAAGGCAGAGCCATTATATGTAGACTGACTGGGACTGAGGTACCTGATTTCGAGCTGATTACCTCTGAGTGTCGGCACATTGTGTTCCAGCAAAATTTTGTAGGTGCCGACTTATAGGTTCAATTTAGGATCAAAATCAGCTCCACTTAGCAGTACTCAGACTAACTTTGGGCCAAAGCAGGGCCATGAAATCAGTCCAAGTGTACTTCAACTGATTCTGGCAAGTCATTTATCACAAGTCTTGCAAATATAAAAAACAATCAGTCAAATATATGCAGTTTGTCATTAATGGGGAGGGGACAGAGAATCTGTTTTGCTGTTCTCTGTCCCCTCCAAACCCCTCTTCCCTTTTCTCTGTCTCGCTGCCTCTTATTCTCCGCCATATGACAAATCTTTAAATAGGCATAGCCAAAGATTGTTTCCCCAAGAGGACTCCTGGCTGGGCATGAAAATTGCTTACTCTCTAATTCATTAGTTCTGGTGCATGATTGAGGTCAGGGCCTGTGGCATTAGCTGACACCGGCATCTGAGGCTGAGCTAACATGTCTTTGCATCACCCTCGTCGAGCTAGCGAGTATCCCAGAGATTGGTTATCTCTCTGTCAATGTCCTGTTGTCACTGGAGGAGAGTTATCCCTCATGGGGGGTCAACAACACGCCACCACAGATGCCAAGTGCCCCGGCTTTCCATCTGCACAGCAACAGAGATGTATGGGTAAACAGACAACAAGCTCCTAATCTCCTGCTGGGTCTGAGGGGACAGGATGAGACCAGAGAGATGGCCCGCAGCCGGCACCAGAGGGCAAACTCATCAGGATCTGACTCGTGTGCCAAAAAGTTTCTTCTCAGGAGTGATGGGAAGTGCTTTAGAAGTATTAGGGATAAAGCAGCAATACGCATCCAATTCATTTATGCCCTCAGATAAAAGTAGCACAGATGAAGGATTTGTGGTGGTGTTTTGTGTCAGACTTCCTAACTGACGCTCATTTCTCAAATTGTAGGTGGAAATTACTGAATTATTTATGGCGTGATCTCATCTGTTTTTCTCCACCAGGAAATTGTCAACTTCAACTGCCGTAAGCTTGTGGCCACCATGCCTTTGTTTGCCAACGCGGACCCCAACTTTGTGACGGGGATGCTGAGCAAGTTGAAGTTTGAGGTCTTCCAGCCCAACGACTACATTATCCGAGAAGGCACCGTCGGGAAGAAGATGTACTTCATTCAACATGGTGTGGCAAGCGTCATAACCAAGTTCAACAAGGAGATGAAGCTGACTGATGGATCCTACTTTGGAGGTAAGAACTAAAACGTAACATTCTGTAATTAAATTTTTATACATTTTTCTATAAATTCCACTACAAAATGCGAACATGAATTATTCATGTTGGTACTGCCATGCGAGAACATCATACTCAGTCTACAGTCTACAGTCACACATGCATTCCTGCAGTATGTTCATGCGGTAATATATTGAGACATGAGTCTAGCCTGAGGTCTTGCGTTTGATACTGTTTGAAGTTAAGTTATTGTAGATGTAGATTCTCATTAACCAGTGTTGGACGTTAGTCAGTTTCTGCAGTTACATAACCTCTCATCTGGTTGTTGGAGTAGGCCAAGGCGTGGATCAGGCATCCCTTAGGACACACAGAGGTTCCTCCCCCACCCTTCTCACCCTAACACACACACACAATACACATGGATGAACTCTTCTCCCCCTCCATACGTTCCTGCTGCGTATACTTGGCACAGACAAGAGCAGCTAGTTGTTCCTTCTGTGTAAAATCAGGAGCTATTCTCTCCGTCTGTTCTCTGCTGTGTTTTCATTCTCTGTCTTCCAACTATCTTTTTCTTGGCCCAACTCCCATTACCTCTCCAAAACATTACACATATCATTAATTTTTTAGAAGTCAAATGTAATTTCATTGCACATTGTTTACCCAGACACGACAACGTCTGCCAGTGGGTTTTGTCAATGTGAAAGCAAAGCAAAGTTTCCTATTTTAGAGGTTCTTGCATATTTTATCTCATGAGTTCATCCCCACTATGGAAGCAGGCTGAGGAGTCTAAGAATACCTTCGCTTTGGTGTGACTACTGAATGCAGTTCATGTCTCACAGGCGGGCTGAGGAAGGCAGTGAATCAAAAAAGAAATTGGTCATCTTTTTTCCTGCTTGTACAAACCACAGGATTGCTGTCATGCCACTCAGCGTGCAAAGCTGCTGGCTTTAAATATGGGATTGCCAGAGGACATGGGGCATTGTAAATTCTGCATAGAGTGGACATGTCATATAGTAAGAGATGTGGCAGTAGCATTCAAACAATTAATCCTCTGGGGCTGCAACTCCAGAGATATTCTGCTAAAGAATCATTGTGGCACATATGTTACACTAAGCTCAAATGTTAGGGGAAAAAATTAGTGTGAGTGCATTTATCAAACTGTTTCAGACAAAAAGAAAAGAAACTGTGGGAGTTTAATTGGCTTTTGTTTCCAGTTAGAGAATGAAAAGAAATAGTCATGGTTCTAAGTAGACTGAACAGTGGTGGGCTTGTATATCGTGTATATTATCATTCAAAATCAGCAGTTCAAGATCTTTGTTATAACAATTATACTGTCTATGCTGAGTATAGTTTTTGACAGAGCACATACAAAAAGAGACCAAGACTTTTAGAAAGCTAAATCTTTAAGTCTTGTACAATACCTGGTGACTCTTTCTGGTGACTCTAACATGTGATTAAATTGAAGTGTGTATAATCCCAATTTTTGTAATAAATATGTATCAAATGACAGTGTGACAATGTGAAATCTGCCTTCAACTTTATGGAGCTTTATACTACTATACTACTACTTATATACTTTCAGATCATTTTTTATTTATCTGGCTCACAACTTTACTGTTTCCATACACCCACCACTCTCATAAAAGAGTTTTTGGCCACAGCAGGAAGCTGTTTTCACTGAGAAAGCTCTAAAAGCCCACTGTGTACTACCTGCTCAGCACTAAACAGCAGACAGACACAGTTCGAGACTAGTTGATAAACAAGGTGGAACCTTTAGCAGCTAAAGAGCCAGATATTTCCCTCAGGAGTTGGTATAGACCAATAACAGAACTAAAAGAGTGAAAAGAAAGATGTTTTTATCAGGCAGCCAGACGAATGACTACATGATAATGTTGCTTCATAACAGGATGTCTAAATAAGCAACTGTTAGATAATAAGTGTGCTTCAACTTAAAAGGTGATGATATGTTACTGTTGTGTTTACAACTTGTTTCCGCTGCCCCCAAGTGGTCAACAAGTTAAAAACAAAGTTTAACTTTAGTTTACTATCATATGAACAAGAAAAACAGCAAAACCTCACAATTTTTTAAGCTGGAAACAACAAATGTTTGTCAATGTATCTTGAAATCGTCTCAAAGAATAATACTAAACGACTGAATAGGTAAACTGCCAATGCCTCGTCAGAACATGATATATAATGTTTTCGAGAGATCGGGCAACAGGCATAACGGACCTTTGTTGATCCAGACCTTCATTGTCACTCGAATAGTCGCAATTTGGTTAGGTTTAGGAAAGATTATGGTTTGGGTTATGTAGTTATGTATGTATGTAGTATGTACACATTATGTACGTGACATAATTTAAGTATGTTACGTTCGTAAGTTAAAATACTCCAACTTTAGGTTTCACACAGGACACGAACAGGCTTCATGCACCTCAACCTCCTTCCTTTATCAGTTGTCAAAACAACTGGTTTTCTGTCAATTGACTAATTGATTCATTGAGTAATCATATGAGTTGGAGTGTAATGGAGGGATGTAGTAAAAATGGGCTAATAGCTTGGCTTCGTGCAGGAGATAAAGAGCTAGACAGTTAACTAACACAAGTCTCAACAAACTGCTGCCCTGAAAACTGACCTCTGGAAAGCTAGACAGTTAGTGCTTTTCAGGGATTTTTGGATTATCTTTATCAAGCTTTGTCTAAAACATTCCGAAGGTTATTTGGTACCACAAAATATTAACTCATTTTTTTTGTGTTTGCTGTCTGGTGTGTTCTCATTCTGTTCGAGTTTCCCAACAGCTCAGTACATATTGATTCAGCAGACTACAAAGGAGTTCATCAGTGCAATTAGTAGTGCAGGAAGCTGGAGGAGAGTTTACAGTGAAAGATCTGCATCTAAAATCAGCTTAATGAAAAGGGGAAAAAAACATACAGGCAACATGGAGAACATACAGTAGATGTTCCCATTTAATGAATCATTTAATCTTTTAATTAAAGGATATTTGTTATGTCTCTCCAAACAATAAAGGGTGTATTGCTCTTTTTGCTGTGTACTGTCGGTGCCCGGCCACCTGCTGTTGCCTTGTGCCCAGCTGGTATTTTTACCCATTTGTATAGCATTAGTAGATGATCCCTAAGTTGGGAGCAGCTGGCTGTGCTAGGCACCTCACTCTTTTCCCTTTTCTCCGATGATTCACACTCCCCTTACAACCAGGCCAAACCATGGCCAGAAAGAGGATAAGTGAGAGGGACTGAGACAGAAACAGAGGGAGGGCGAGTGAGTTACAAAACCGAAATTCAGCCACAGGAAACTATTAGCATAGTAATGAGCAGGACATCTATGAGGACAGTAGGTCACAAAGCACCTCCAACCATGGTCAATGCCACGCCTGCATGCTAAAAAGGTATCATAGTAATCGCTCCTGGGCCTCCATGAATGGGATTACATATTGGTACCACACAGCTCTGTAGTGAAGTCATTCTGAGGCTTAGGGACTAATAGAGTATAATGCTAGGACAATGTCGGAGGATGAAAATCCCTATTGGGCTTGGAAGTCTTAGTCATTTGGGACTCCCTCTCTCCTTAGTCCCAGCCATGGGGGAAGAAGGGGAAAAGGAGATGGTTGCCATGAGAGTATGTGACACATGAAGTGATGGCAAATTATCCACAATGCTCCTGGGGTCAACGGTGATGCTTTGTGGCAAGGCAACAGACACGTGTCAAACCGCATCATGTGAAGTGTTAACAGGGCCTTGACTTACACACACAAAAACACTGTGGAATACACACACTTTCAAGTCTTTAAGGTAACAGTGCTATTGTTTCCCTTAGAAAGCATTTTAAAATATATGTCTATTAACAGGGACAGGGGAGGGTAAAGTTTCCATTGTAAGTACTTCAGGAGTCCAACCTACATCATAAGAGTCAGTTTTGGGAGCCATGGGCCACTATTATCTTCAAGAAACTCATCAATTTCTCTTTCTGTCTTCATTGACTACTTGGATGAGCTCATTCTGTGTTGTATACTGCCACACCCTTAGCAGTGACACTTAGATATTTACATTTTGAAAGAAAGCAGGTGTATAGCTGAACATCTGTTGTCATGATATAGTATGTATAAAGAGTTAAAACTGTGGACATAAGCACAGCCTAAAAATACACTTTCCAGCTCCCTGTCAGCTAATTGTCAGCGTGTTGCTTTCATGTTCTCAAGCAATCACTCACAACTGGAGTTCAGTGTAGTCTGACACAATGAATTAGCACAGTTTGAAAGTGCTATTCCAAAAAAGGAACGCAAAAAATAGAAACAAGTCTCCCACTGTTGCTTGCGCCATCATTCTACTGCTGGTCAAATTCAGTTATGTGGTGGTGCGGCTACCTGACAGCAGAATCAAAGCTGAGGAAAAATTGTCTGCCTCACTGTCGTTTTCTGAGAATCAACTGTACACGTGAGGTTTGATTCCAGGTATTGTATTTCTGGGTTGTATTCACTGGTGGGACTCTGGCTAGAGTTCTCATCCTTGTTGCTTAACAGTGAATCCTACTTGTAGGTCCAAATTCTTCATTGTACAATTTAAAGAACTGACCTTTTGAGAAATATGCTTATTCACTTCTTTGTTGAGAGTTTGATGAACACGTGAAAAAGTGACTCTCACGTCATGTTTTTATACCAAAAATGAAGTTAGAACTAGAACAGTTTTCAAACTGGGGTCCGGGGACCAACAGGGGGCCTTAAATGGGTTTTAGGGGTCCTGTTTTTTGTATGTTGGAACAAGAAAGTTGGTTGTAATGATTCATTCATTTATAGTGATCCCAGTTTGATCACTGATTGACTATGAAGACTTTATAATCTCGAATCCTTTGTGTTACATTCTGCTTGTATGAAAAGTGCTATACAAATGAACTAGAAGACGGTTAGCAGCTTAGTGATTGGATGTAAGAGGAAACTGCTAGCTGGGCTCTGTCCAAAGGTAAAACTCACTAATTCACATGTTTGTTCAATTCGTACATAAACTGAAGTGTAAAAGCAAAATGTTGCGCTGGCATCTTTGCTGGCTGCCTAGCTACCTCACGATGATGAGTTCAGCACATAAACCCCTGTACAACCACAACTTGCTTTTACATTTTCTGTGTAGCTGTTTTCCCCTGCTGCCAATATTTATACTAAGCTAAGCTAACCATCCTCTCGTTTTGCTTAGTATTTAACGTACAAACATGAGAGGGGTATAAATCTTCTCAGCAAGAAAGCAAATGATTGTATCTCCTAAAATATCAAACGATTCCTTTCAAATTTGTTTTTGTTTTTTAAAATACGTTTGTATTTTTCATAGTGTGGCATGTTCTGCTTGTCAATTACAAAGAACAGCAGATGCTTTACAGTAGCTTACCTTGGTTCTTTGTTCTAACTAATAATTTGACTGTATTGGTTATATTAGGGAATGATTCAAGTATGAACTGAAATGACAAAACAGTAATAGAAGCCTCTGGTGCTTGAGGGAAAAGAACTTAATTTTAACTAGTTTTAAAACGGTGTATGGAATCAGTCCAAATTTAGTGCCATGGCAGGCAGTAATTTAAGGGGCATCAGTTGTTTTCAGCTCATCCAAACATCCACCTTTCTAGACCCGAGCTACAGGGTGCTCACTGTCAAGCAACACTTTTACCTCTGCAGGTAGTCACACAGTGAATCACGCAAGCTTCGTCTGCCTCTGTTTCTCCCTCTCTGTGAAATGACTTATTTTTCTTTCTCTCCCTGTCTACTTTTCTCTGTGTATCTTCTTGTGTTAACATTGGTACCACTTAAAGGGAGCTTTTCCATTATAACAGCCTTAACACCTTATTCACACCCACAGCTTGAGAGTGTTGCTCTCGCACCTTGCACACTCTGTGCTCTATTTTCATGACAGCTCATGGCATTGCCAAGAGAGATCACACCATGACAAGTTAACATTTAACGATTTAATGAAGATGGAAATTGTGCTGTAGATTGGACAGAAGTGCAAATGTGGGTGGAGGTTAAGCGGTGTTGGCGGGTGAACAGGACTGAACAAAAACCAAGTGGAAGTTAATACTAATAAGACATGTAGTGAAAGATAAATAGAAGAAAAAATGTAGGATTAATGAATAGGGGGCAGATGGATAGATTGTGCACTTTCTGCCTCGTGTCACTGACTCATGGGAACACTGAGGAGATCAGGTGCGGTGAATGTCAGGTGTTACCTTTAAATATCATCTACAGTAGCACACAATCATTTATTTACTTCTTGCTAAATATGATGCACAGGTGAGGAAATATAGATTGATTTCCTTTACAGACAGTGAATATTCCATCTGAGAATACATTTCCTAACACATGTTGTGTGAAATCATCTCGTCTAGTATTATTAAAAACTGGATTTTAGTCTGTTGTTGTTCACATCAGAAGTGAAACATCTCTTTCGGTCATTAAAATTTTAGGCCGAATCAAAAGCGTGACCTTTTTCTCTCAACATGAGTTCTGTTTGCAATCATGTAATTGCTATTCAGAAGATTTCAGTACTAATGAGTATTAGCAATAATAAGCACCCTACTAAGAGAAAATGTTCTGACATATTTCAGATCCTCTTAATTTTGTCGACTGATTGCATGTAGAATCAAAGTGGGGTCCATAAACTTGGGTAGATTCTCTTTTTTTTCCCCTCTCAAGCCTCGTTCAGATCACAAACCCTGCTGACTAATTTCGGCTTGGAAATCTAAGAGCCAAAATGTCAGCCTTATCAGAGCACTGTGCCCAGTCCTGTGTGTGGTGGATTGATAATGCCAATAAGTGTTGGAAAGTAACTAAGTACATTTACTCAAGCACTATACTTAAGAACAACTTTAAGATACTTTACTTATTAGTATTTTCATTGTATCCAACATTTTACTTAATTTACTACTCCACTAGATTTCTGAGGGAAATATTGTACTTTTTATGCCACTACGTGTATCTGACAGCTATAAACACTAGTTACTTTACAGATTAAGATTTTTCATTTAAAAAAAAAAAAATGATATGATAATATACTGATAATATACAATACATTGCTAAAATGGTTCTTAACAGTTGACAGCCTAAGAAATATATCCCTCGGAACTTCTCAGATGGTGTCATTTATTGGTAAAATAAGCAAAGATTAGAAATATCTTTAAAAATGATACAACATTTGGGTAGCCGATGTGTATCCTTGTTTTTCCTCTTTTTCTGCCTCATTAATCAGCTCATGACACCTCAGATTTATCTTGTGACCCTTTGCAAGGGCCCCACCCCAAGGTTGGGAACCACTGGGCTAAGCTACCTAGCAGTATATAGAGTAGTTAAAAATAACTCCAGCTCAACCAGCCATTAAAATGCTACTTATGCATTGATGCATAACACATAATAATATATCAGTCACAGGGGCATTTTTCATTTAAATTTTGCTATAAATATACTCTCTGAGTATAGTATAGATCTGAGTGCTTCATCTACTACTGATGACGATAATGAAAACTATACTACTTTTAGAGATTTTTAATCATATCGATCATTATCCCATTCATACATGTGTATATTTCAGGCAGGTGTCTTTGAGTACAGTCTGTCTTTTGTAATCAAAGGTAAATGTAGCTAAGCGCATAGACAAACTGAAAAACAAGATGTATGCTGCATTGTTATGTGATGTGAGGGGAGGGTCGGGAGTTGTGATGATTGTTCTGAACGTGACACAAAGCAACGTGTTCTCTTCACATCTCTGAGAAACCAGTGACTGACCAGAAATACAGGAATGCTATGTAACCATACCTGCTGTTCGGTTATACATTACATCTGTGAACTCATGCATTGATGCAGTGATGCCTGGAGTAAAGCTGACTACTGTATCATATTATGGGACCATTAGCTCTCTGCTGGATGATGAATTATCTTAGTATAATGCAAGTGACAGCACCGCTGATGGGCTTCTCATTTTATTTACATTCACATTAGCTTCTGCTTCTGTTCCTTTTGTACTCAAGGTTCATCTATATGGTAATCTCTGTATTGTAATTACTGGTAAAATTTCCTTTATGTCCTTCTGTACTCTGCACTTCTTTTAATGTTTCTTAATGTGTCCACATTTTTTCTTTTCCTTTTGTCTCTGTCCCTACAGAGATCTGTCTGCTTACCAAGGGCAGACGAACTGCGAGTGTGCGTGCAGACACCTACTGTCGACTCTTCTCCCTCTCTGTTGACCACTTCAATGAGGTGCTTGAAGAGTACCCCATGATGCGACGAGCTTTCGAAACGGTTGCCATTGATCGATTGGACCGCATTGGTAAGACCTGCCTACATCTAATTCTTGTCCTGTATGATTGGTCGAATCTCTTGCCTGTCATCGTGCCTTGTTGTCTTGTCTTTATCAGTATTCGTTTGCCTTCTTTCTTCATAAAAGCATTGTGTCTGCCATCTTGTGCTGCATGACCTGTATGCTATATTTTTTTTTACTTCTCGTCTATTTGTCTTAAATAACATTAAATCAAATTTGTTGTAACCAGCATTAATCCTTCTAAAGAACCAAAGTAGCGTTTTGTGGTTGGATTAACTGGAAGGCAGTGCATGTCGCTGTCCGGGAGGGAGTCAGTTCGCCCCCTCGTTGGTTTGGTGTTGACCCCCCCGCTGGATGCCAGCGAGTGGATGGAAGCTAACCTCACATGCATGTGTGTCTGGCCCTCTTTCCACTCATCTACACTCCTGGGTATGAGCAGCACCCCACCCCATATATCAAAATCAACCAGACCCTGTAAAAAAGAAAATAAGAGCAGGGCCAGGTGAGATCAGGGAGTTGTTTCAGGCTCTAACATCCCCACATCCATCAGGTCCAGCCCAGTTTGCAAACAGGCAGGACCCTGTATAGTTTCATTTAGCTATACCCTCATCACCAACAATGCTTCCTTATTTTCACTGTCTGATAGAGCAACATTTATAGAATAACTTGGCCTTGACGTAGTTGAAATAGAATAAGTGATAATGATTTCGACACACATGGATTTGTTACAGTTTAAAAAAAGGGGCACATGTATGTTATGCAAACAGGGCAATAATTGGTTGAATTGATCGTTATGTTGCACATTTTCCCACTCCTCTTTTAACGGTCTGCTCTAATACTTTGATTGGAACTGGCACATTACAAAAAATTGCAGAAGATAATATGAAAGTGTTTTGTAACTGACAGAAGTAGAACATATGTCTTTGTCTTTGCTTATGTTTTGCTGCATTAGTACATTATTTGTATCTTTTTGAAATGATAATGGTCTCTTTTTATTACCTTTTTATATATGACTAATACAAATTCAGCACATTTCACAGTGAGAAACATTTAGGCACACTATGTTACATTTCATATGGACATTCAGTGTGTATAGTGAGTATACTTTAAGTGTATAATAAGGGCTATTTTCTCCATGTGTTGATGTCTCACATAGTACTGTACATGTTTTTAGGTCTTACGTAACCCCTGTTTATTTGAAAATCAGATGACAAATTGTCAAAACTTTAAACTGGCAGGTACACTGTAACGTATAAACGCATGTGAACAGCACAGGTTCAATTCTTATACCTTACCGGCACAATTTGTGTGGCAATCTGAATGTCAATGTGCTACGAATTTTCTGACAACAGCCAAAGTTTGACTAGTGTATTTAGTATGCTAGATACAACTAGATAACAAATCTCTTCCATTATTTAATAAACTTATGGACAGATCACTCGGAGGTGGCAAAATAAACAATAAGCAATAGAAGTCAGGAGGATACACCACCATGTGATTACTGAAATGCTAAGGGGCATATTGAAAAAAAAATACTGTTAAAAAAGGTCACTGCAAAGTCTCTATAGCTATAGATATATGTGTTAATAGCATCCCCCACCAGACTTACTTGTAACTGAATCAGCAGACAGTAAAGATAATTTATCAAACTAATTATTTAGTTTTTTTGTAAAAACTTGCAGGTGGATGCTCTCCAAGTAAATAGCATTTGCTATTAAAGCAACAGGTAACTGGTAGTGAATAAAATGAACATTTTCATGCAGCCCATAACAATTTAATAAAGAAAGAAATTGAATTTGTTAAATAAAGCACTTCTGAAACAATTTATGGATCATATCATTAGCTTTTATGGCTGCTACACAGACAATCCAAGCAGCTCATTATCATAAATTAGAGACACCTTTACCTTTTAAAGCTGCCTTCTTGTCAACAAACTTTTATACCTGCCAATAATGCTAGAGTAATGAGTAACCATAATGTTTTATCATTTGGTTCCCTTTTATATTAACCAGAAACAAAATCACCTGAATACAGTAGACAAGTAGAATTTGCATAATGACAGTGTGCCAGTGTTGTCTCATATCAGTGGTTAAGCTTGCAGTCTGTATCTACTTTTCTATCTGTTATTGTTGTTTTTCTTTGTCATGGCTTTGTTTTTGTGTATTATTTTGTTTGACACAGGCACATCAATATTGAATTGATCATTGAAATACTGTAGTGTCAGGGAAGTCGACAACAAGCAATTAACACTAGGTCACTCAGAGTTAATAAGAATCCGACAACAGATGTGTGTCATTGTTGAGACAACCTTTTCTCCTCAGAATTACGTTCAGATACGACTATTTTTTGAGGGTGGAAACGGTGCCTGGATTATTTTAAAATATCTGACAGAACATGTCTGCAAAACACCAAAATTTATACAAACCACATCTGCAAAAGTTAATGTTAAGCAAATCTGCTAGATGTTTAGTTTTTAAATTGTGCTCATGGCAACTGAAGCATGGTTAAGGTATGGTTAGGGTAAAGCAAATAAAACTACTTGATTGAGTTTAGGGAAAGCATGCTTAAAGTTTTACAAATGAAAACACTGATTCAATACGGGACGCAAACCTTCTCCAGCTTTGTTCTTCCATCCACGTGGACGTTAACACCCCCTCTTTGCTTTACGAATGTCACACTACTTCTTGCATTGGAACTGAACACTAACTGTGAAGTAGTTGCATATGAGCGTAATTCACAGGAGACAAGGTTGCATTGTTTTCCTTTGGGACTAGCATACAATTTAAGTAATAAATCTTTATTTGCCCTGTAGTGAAGTGTATGGCTTGTGCCCTTCACAACATACTGTATGCCCTTTGGCATCAACAGTCCAAATCTGCATTTGCCCTTTTTATGAGAGCTACCAGCTTTTCATTAGAGCTAAATGTTAGAAAATGAAAGCTGCCCACTCTGACTGACACCTCTCAGAGTAATATAGATTTGATCCATCCTTTCAGACTAACCATGAAGGGGGTTTTGTCTCATACGAGGGAAGATACTTTGTCATGATCCGTGCTGGTTGTATCGTTTCTATATATGAACTGCATTTGGTTACATGCTTGTCTTGCTCTAAAAAGGAAAGAAAAAAAGTAACCATGCTTTGAAACCAATAACGTGTTGCACATTTGACATTATCTTTTATCTATCTAAAAATTATTTGACCAGGAGTCCGTCTTGAGACGAGCACATCTCGTTTTCAAGAGTGTCCTGGCCGACGAGTAGGCATCAGGTAAACACTTTATTCCAATTCCAATATTCGAACAGGGACAAATTGACCTATAGAGGCTTGCTAAATGGATCCGGTCTCAAATTGATCCTCCAAGAGTTTGACCTCTTGCTGAAGGTTACATTAACTGTTTAATTCCTGCATCAGTGACACATTAAATCAAGTCACCCACACCAGTCCTGCAGATGTTTTGATGGACACATTCAAAATGTCAAAAACTAAGACAATCAAAGAAACAAAAGATATCTCATTCAGTGTTACATGCCATTACTTATTTGTAACAGACTTTCACAGAATAATCAACTGGATTATGAACACATGCTCAGCTCTATTGGTGTGACATTTTTATATAATTTTTGAATCCTTTTTTCAAAGTGTGTTCACAAATGAAATCATGTCTCCAGATTAGTAAAAACTTTACTAATGCAATGCCACATACACTTTTACATGCAGAAATTCCATTTCATTTTTTTATTCATGTTTTCACCAATAGAAAAAGAAAAGTTTGTTTCTGATTGTCTGACTTGAAATATGAATTCTGTCTTTTGTGTAAATAATTTTGGATTACATCAACACTTTACTTATACTAGTCAAAAGAAAGTTAATCTCATCTCATTGTTAGAGCTACAGTAATGTTATGCTGACCACATGTGGAAGGCCAAAGTTTATTTAATTCATGAAGAATAATTTTTTCACACATATTTACACTAATTTCTTCTCTAAAATGAGAAAAATAAGTTTATTTTTTTCTTAATGATGTGTTAAATAATAATACAAAATAAAGAAAAACATTTCCTGCAGTGACTCATAGAAGTAAAAGAAACAATATATTACAGATTGGTGAAATTATTTATCAAATTGCAATGTATAATTTCTCTGTTAAGCCTTGAATGCATCTCAAAATTTGTGTATTTTATTTTTTAACAATTTCAGCCTTCATTATTTCTATGATGTTTGTTAACATTATAATGTCTGTGTTTTGCTTGTTTTTATATTTGTTTGTTTGGTGTGTTAGTTGGCTTTCAGACTGTTTTACAACAATTATGTTTTAGATTTCAGATATGGGTTAATTACTGTATTACAGTTTCTCATATTGATGGGTGAAGTTTCTTCTTCTCTAATCTCACTGATTCTATTGCGTTGGGAAAGACATTCAATTATTATTATTATTATTATTATTATTATAGACAATTATTAACACAGCACTGTAATTGTATTATTATCAAATGGTGATTCGACCCATATCTGATCTATTTTTATTTCCATTTTAAAAGTTTTGTATGTTTAAAAAAAATCCTTTCTTTACCCATGAGTGGTGTTTACATTTTGTTTATGTTTTTATTTGTTTGCTTGTTTCATTTTGTTTTTAGGGGACAATATTTTTTACAATCTTCTCTTAATGTTTCATAGTCAGACTTTCCTCCAAAGTTTACAGATCAGATAAACCGAATATTGTAGACATGTCAAAATTAACACTAGCATTCATTGAAAAATATATATTTAATATAATATTTTGAATATAGTATATAATATACAGTATAAGTTTAAAGGGTAGCTTTAGTATTTTTCAGTATTGAGCAAGAGCAGTGGGTTAAAACGTAATCCTTATGGGAACGTGCACCATCAAAATATGTCCATTAAAAGTGCTTGTTTTTGCTGTTGACCGGCTCAGATAGTCAATGTTGTCAGAGAAATCGTTTTCTGTTACTTCCGCTTGATCGGCTGTGTCTAACCAAGTCTTGTTCAAGGAGAAGTCTTGTTCTGAAATCTCGGGAGAGGTGAGTGTGGTAATGTTTGGCCGGGAGGAGTTTGTTGTACAGAGAGCATAGCTTAGTGTTATGTAAAAGATTTTCAATGTCATGGCTAAATATTTAGCTGATTTGGATGCAATTTGGCAACAGGCATTTCACAGACTGGATAAAGCAAAAAGTACAGAATTTTTTTAATTCTCTGTAGGGTCCTTTCTATAATAATGTCAGACACCTATAATTACAATTTGAGCTGGTCAGTAGCAAAAACAAGCACTTTTAATGGCCAGATTTATTTGCCCAATTGGCCGTCAGAATTACTTTGTAGCTTGTTTCGCGGCTGCAGGATTCAGCACTCTCACTCAATACTGGACCAAATCCAAAACTTGACTTGGAAAAAATTACCATGTTGAAAAATACAGAAGTTACCCTTTAAGTGTCTGTTTTCCTCTCTCTCTATTATGAGTTCTGTCTGTAGAGATTTCCACTGTAAAACAACAACAATTTAAAGGACAGAGAGGGTCAGTGTTTCTATGAGAACAATGTGTATTAAAGCACAATAGGGGGAATCTGACATTTACTGTGATGTAGGTTAAGTAGCACTTAAGACATAGTTAAGTTCTTCTGCTCCTAATACTAAGCTTTGTTTGGGCTGCTGAACATTAAGTACATAAAAGTTGACTTAAAGTAATATTTTGAATTTTTACACTACATATATACCTACTGATATGTAGATTCTACTGGTTAAAAAACAATCTCTGCTGTAGCATGGAATAATAGCAGATTTCTTGGAGAAAGTGTAAATCTAAGTGCATATATAGTTTAAAAAGATATAGTTATACTCTTTGTGTCTATTTATCTTTTACACACCATTAACTGAAAGAGGATAAAATGTCACAAAGAGATTACAGAAGGAGAGAAATAAGAAGACGACATAAGAATGTAAAGGGGCAGCAAGAACAACACCAGATAAGGCAGATAGCACACTGCAATACATCATAATGTTCATTTCAAAATTGATGTAATTTCACACACTGACTGATGCCCTGAAATGCTAACAACCCCCCTGTGTCTAACTACCAGCAAACCTTCAGATCCCCACAGGTATTGGAGGAATAAGATGTATGAATATGTGTTGTCCTTCCAATCTACAGAGTTTAACCCCATCACCTTTAAAAATGCAATGAAAGCAGCCTTGTAAGTTAACAGTAGTCTTATATGTGGTGCTAGTTTTAGCCCTTTAACTACCTGACCCTGTAGTGACTGTCACAGTCAAAATGAACAACGTCAAATGGAGGACTTGATTTCTCAGAAATGGCCGCAAACATAACACCAATTCATTTTCAGCTGTTACAGCTGCTAAATTCTTGTGTTATTGCTGAATGCATGGCTTGTTGGCAGCCTTGAGAGGAGAGAAAGCCATCCAGCAATGCTGCTCAACTGTAAACTCGGTGCAGAAATGTTCTGCCTTCAAGGACAGGGCTTAATGATTGATTGTGGCTAAAGCCTTCAGCACACTAAAAGTCAACTCTGTCTTCTTTATAATGCTCCACAGCCTGTCGAACACAAGGTCAATAGTAATTACAGGGAACGCATCTTCTAAATAAATTTGAATGCAGTTATTCCAAGTAAAGATGTTAAATAGATCTTTATAATTTTTATTGTCAAATGTAGCAGTTCCTTCTACAAAATAGCTTTTTCAAGACGTCTTTCATGCTTTTAGTATCGCTTAGCATTTTACCACAGTTTTGCTCCCAAAGCCACAAAAGTGGTTGGTGTTTAAAGAAGCCATCTGTCAAGCTTTTATTATCACGGTCCATGACTTGTGACAGGCTGGGAAAGATTTCCAGGCCTGTGGGCTCAAAATGCCCTTTAGAGTGCATAGAATAACACTTTGAAATCTGTTTGCTTTATAAAGGAACAGTGTATTTTAAATATTTAAACTTGCAGATTTGATCAATTGTGTATTTTGAACAGAGAATTTCATGCAATTTTAAATTATAAAGATACCAGCATTCTGTGGTAAGATGAGTAAAGTTTAGTTTTCCATAAAGATATTTAATGTACAATTATATTTACTATCTGTATCCATCGAGGTAGTGTGGTAGGAATACATCTTTGTGGCTTTCTTTTTTTGTTTTTATTGTCACCTTTATTCATAAAAAAAGTGTATTCCAAGTGTCCTTGTGATGTGTTTTAGCAGACTTGTCATTGTGATTTAAATAGTGTGGCTTTAAATTTATTCTTAGAGCTTTAAAAAAAAACGTGTCCAGTAAGTGATGTGTGGGTACAACTCATCAGTATTCTTCTGTTTCATTGTCCACATCAGCACCTTCACAGTCTACGCTACCACGTCACACTTTCAGTAATCTTTGTCTCCTTGTGTCCTTCACTCCTCTCAAACCGTATATTTCCCATAGTCATTACCATTCAATGTCCTTCACAGTTTAAATGCAATATGACAGACCTTAGTGGATGTGAAAAGATGCAGCTTGTAAGACTGAAACAGATTTATTTATACATTTAATGGAATCAAGAAGATGAACCTCCTATATTGGCACAAGAACAAGAAAGAAATAGCGTCTTCTGACTAAAACATACAAGCTGCACCTTTATCATTACTGTCCTGAATCCTGCCCTTTTCCTGTGGTTTAGGGCAACCAGAGTTTGCCATGGCTTTATGTGCTCACCTCTCCTGACTGCACCCCAACAGGGAAGAAGAACTCCTTGCTGCTGCAGAAGTTCCAGAAGGATCTGAACGCCGGCGTTTTCAACACACAGGAGAACGAGATATTGAAGCAGATTATTCGTCAGGACAGGGAGATGGTGATGATGGTGGATCGCAAGCAGTCAGTCACCGGGATGAACTCAACACCAATGTCAGGAAACTCCATCATTAACTCACCAGCCCAACCACCCTTCCCCACTGCCTTTGGCACCAATCAGCTCCAGCAGTCCTCCGTACCCATGACCTACAGTGCTTCAGCTATTGCCAATGCTTCTGCTGCCCGCATGCTGCCAGCTGCTGCCGCTGCAGCACAGGGGGTTTACCCTGCTCCCAGTCTTTCCCATGGCAACCTCAATTCTTCCTTAACCAACCCACAGACCCCACTCCAGCAGCAAGGAGCGATCATGTCGCCCTGCTCCTTCACGGCTGCCATGTGCAGTCCACCCGTGCAGACCCCTTTGGCTGGTCGGAGCTTCCAGTACGGCTCCCGTACAGCCTCCCAGCTGTCACTTATCCAGCAGCCCATTGCCCAACCATCTCTATCCACACAGCAACAGCTTGCCCAGCAGCCTGCTGCCTCGACTACAGCCGCCTCCGCAACGCAGCAGCCGTTGCCTCAGCAGCAGCAGGTACCCTCACCTCAGCGGGGAGACATCCACAAGAGCACACAGGCTCTTCAGTCGGGCAGCTTGAGTCGAGATGTTAGACACTTATCGGCCTCCCAACCATCACTGCCACATGACACATCTCTGGGGCCCAGAGCACACCCAGCCTCAGGAGACTCTCTGGCCTCCATCGTGCCACCAACGGCGGCAGCGATCCAGGGGATGAATCTGCAGAGTGGCATCCGCACCACAGTGCCCCAGCGGGTCAATTTATTCCGCCAGATGTCATCAGGAGCGCTGCCACCGGTGCGCTCAGCCGCCGCGGCAGCAGCGGCAGCGGCAGCAGCATCATCATCCTCAACTCAGCACAGGGAATCCCCCGGATCTAGGAGAGATTCTGTCCTGAGCAGTACAGAGACTGAGCAAGACAAAATGCGTTTTGCATCAAATTTATGATCCCATTTTTCCCTTTTCATTTTTTAAACTTAAATATGTTTCAATTCATTTTTAAAAGTGGAGATACAACAAAAGAGATAAAAGTGAGGAACTTCAGAATTTTTGTTTCTCTCCAATTTTCTTCTAAAATAACCTCATAGAAATCCTGTACATACAAGCCCTTGTATTATATTTTAGACACATTGTCTCCCTAAACTTAAGAATGTATATTATACAGATACATCTCTCTTTTCTTTTAAGTTATATATATATCTATATATAGATATCTATTTATGGATATATATATATATGTATATATACTGCTGTATGTATGGGTGTGTGACAGTGTGTGCATGTGACCGCGTGTGTAAAATCCAACTAGAATATTTGGCAAAGGCAGTTTAAAAGCTGTAGTATAAACATGAGTCTTCCTTTCTGAGAAATATAAAGAATTATATACAATATATGAAGTTTTTTAATTTTGCTTTTTGCTTTCTGTTTTTTTAACTGGAATGCATTGTGGATTCTGATGATGACTATTTATTTTTCTTTTTTTTACCACTGAGGAAGAGACAAATTATCTTCTCCTATTAAGCAGCTTTTGGCACCACTGTGGAATAATAAATGCAAGCAACTCTGACAAATAATCTCAAAAAGCACACACTCATAAAATGAATCTCATACTGAATTTCCTGAACCCTCATTTCAGAAATCAACACAGATACTGTTACGAAGTGTTATGTTGCTCTTAGCGGCAAAAATACAGTCTGCTGAGCCACTATATCCCCACAGCGGCTCACATACAAACCATGACAGTGTTATGGGTCCAAAGGGAATAGATAATAGAAATGCTGCTTTCTTTGTTTGTTTCTGAGGAGAATGGAGTGTGGAGAAAGATATGGATGGATGCTATTGTTTTCTATTTCTAATTTCAGATGGCTGAGATGTTATGTAATGTTGCTTAAAATTCAGTGTATATTTATAATATTTATAAACTAAAGATTATCACCATTATGCAATAGACTGTGACATAAAGATTACCTATATGTGTGCTGTAAATAGTTTTGTAGATCTAGTATTTACAGATACTGTGTGGTGCATTCTCTATCATAACAATGTCTTACTTCTATCAGGAACCTGGATATCATCTATATGCGAAAAAGGTTAAGTGACAAAATACATACGTTTCATAAGAGATAAACAAACCTTAATGCAATAGCTAGCACTACTTGATGCTGAGAAATGCCTGATTGGAGGACATTTAAGAATCCCTCTCTCTCTGTGTATACTATTCATAGTCCTAGTATAGTTTTGATTTCACATCAAGTGAAAATATACAATATTTATCTACAATACACAACTTTATTTCGGAGTCATCCTACTGAGAATAAATGTGTCTTTTCTATTGCCTCATGTCCTAAATCTCCTGAGGATCATATTAAGAGTGATTCTTTGGTTTATATTATGTCAAACCGATCATTTTATGAGATGTATTGTTCAAGGACTGAAATGAGGCTTTTGTTTTTTTTATTTATTACACCGTTTCGTAAAACTACAATTTAAATTCTATGCTTGCTTATCTGCTTCTTGAGTATAACTGTACTGTACGCTGTCATATCACAATTCCTGTAGTTGAAGAGCCTGGCACGACATTTTCTACTCTAGACGTCAGGTGTCCAGTCACTCAAGTGTGCAGGGGGACATTTTCACCGAGAGGTGCTTTTGTGCTGCTGCAAGTCAGAAAAAGAATTGCTGGTTTGCATTAAGGTTTCTGTCTCCTGTAAATCCATTATGTGGGCTTAGGTACTCTAAACTGACCTGGACTGATGTTGAGGCAGGGAAGCAAGGTCAAGCCAGAATATTGTGACTCTATCAAAAAGGATAAGAGCGATTTTGAATATTTTAATCTTACAATAACCAAAGCATTTGATGACTCAACTAAAATAAGCCAGCCATTACGGCTTACAGGTCATTTCCCTGCACACAGTAGATTGGCCTTCTTGCAGTGAGTCAAATGTGACGAAGTATTCAACTGTCAGTCATACAATTTCTATTTAGAGTCATAGTTTTCATGGCAACCAAATATCCCATCAGTTCAAAGTGACTAAGCCCTCTGAGATACCGTTTTAAAAGATTACAAGTCTTCGCTACAGATTGTGTCGATAGTGTACCAATGCAGTCAACCCACCAATGTCATGAAAGCATGCACTGTCACAAATACTTAAAAAGATACTATCTCAAAAATGTTGACGTTAAATGTAATGTTAGATTATGTTTTGTTCATTGTCTGTCTGCCTAGACGTTATCTGTGTGTGAACAGAAGCATTGACTTTTCACATGGACTTTCTTAAGTATTTGTGCCTAAACTATAGCCATGTTCCATCCTTTGTTATGAGTGTGAGCTAGGTGCGTACGGGGGGCACTTCTGCACACAACTGCGCATTCATTCTTACTATACTCTCTGTGTTCTATGTCTCAGTGTTTTTAGACAGGAAAGGAGTAAGCAATGATGATGGCCAAATGTCTCAGTTTATCCAATTGGTATCTTTACTTACAATGTGAACTTCTAGAGGCAGGTTTTTTCTAACATTGTCAGTCAAGCTATATAGAATATTTAATGAGGTCCTGTACAGTTTAAAAAAAAGTGCAATCTTTAGACTTGCAGTAATATCACGCTCAATGAGACATTGTACAAATTTGGAGCACCTTTATACCTTTCTTTGTAGCTAGCCACTGATGTTTGGATTGAATATTGATGTGTGGAAGGAAACTGGCCAAAGCAAAACATTCTAAGTCATTGTCTTTGTTTTAAATTGCACTTTCTGATTTACTAATAAAAAGGTACAGATTCTTTCACCTAGGTTAGGTGTTGAATGAGTTAGTAAGAGAGCAATACCCCCCCTGAGAATTTGTGCTGCCCTAATCCTGTATGAGGTTCTAAATGAGGGGGAGTTGCTCTATTTACAATGAAGAGCGCTTAATCGTGAATATGCCATAGTGTATAGGAACTAGTACACAGTGAAGATGGATAGCAGCACTGTTAGTTTGTGCTGTTTTTGATACTTGCCTTTGGAGGGAGAGCTTCCCAAACTATGTGCTTTTTTCACTATACCAATCACTAACTAACATACTGGAATGGGCATTAATGGTGATGTACAACAGAAACTAATGAGCTTACATATTAGCAGTATAGAGACTCTCAACAAACCAGCACATATATTTGTATATTTCTTTTTGTTTGTTGTTTTGTTGGTTTGAGAAAAAAAAAAGAGATGCAAAAAGCATTGAGAATAATGCCCAGAGAGGACAAACCAAATGTTTATTTGGTTCTGATGACCACAGGTTTCATATGTTTACTGATGATATGCGTAGTGGAGAGAGGGGCAGAAGCTACGACGAGCTGCTCAGTCCTCTTAACCCCCACTCACATGGTCATTGTTCAGCTCATTTATGTAATCCAAGGCTTAGACTAAAAGAACAGTTGGTTACTTGACACAGATGAAAGAAAGATAAATGTAAACTTTCTTACAACAATATGCAGACAAACAGTGTTTGTCAAAAAATCTTTTTGATTTTTTTTTGTTTATTTTGTTTGTAAATAATAAACCTTTAAAATATAGAAAATAAACGACATATTGTCATCTACAAACGAGTGTGTGTCGTTCTATTGTGAAGCAGTGTGTGTTTTGATGGAGACAGGCGCAGCGTGCGAATGAGCTTTTACCCATTTACAATTTGATCGAGGAAGAGAATGGAGAAATGATTTCAGAGATGAAGTAGTGATTGAGAGGGTCGTAGAGTATTCAGGAATAGTGTCTGTCAGCAGTTACAGGCGAGGTGAAATATCGGTTTGTGTGGTCAGTAGGGATTTCCATCCAGTTATCAGTCATCATGCAAAAGACATACTATTTCCTTGTATGACTATGTACTCGTAGGCAGGAGAGGTTACTAAATGCAGGCTGATGTGTTGCTTTTTATAACTAACAGGACTTTTCTCATATTAAGCTAACCTTGATGTTTGATTACATGTTCAATACAGCTACATTAGTTAATCTTTTATTCGACCTACAGCAAAATAAATCAGCAACATTTGTTGAATCCATCTAGATTTGATGATTTTCTTCAGCATAAATAGCGAACTGAATATCGTTGGGATTTTTTTCTGTTGGTTGGACAAAACAAGACATTTAAAGACGTCAACTGGGACTTTTTTTTAAATTATATTGTGCATTTTTCACAATTGTCTGCCATTTAATAGACACAATTATGTTACATAATAGAGAAAATAATCTTCAGTCTAAAATAAATTTACTTGCAGCCCATATTTCCAGCACTGCAGCATTTATAAATACATTTGTCAGCCATTTTTTTTTAATAATATCTCAGAGTACTTTACACTGCAAGGTTGTCTGTTTTCACCCTCCCAATTTAAATAGAAGTTGAGCACAGCTCAAATTGCACAGATGGTTTGCGGTTACCTTTTTGAAAGCCAGGCACACAGGGGTTACGCCAGGGTGACGCATGCTTCAGTTGATCCCTAGCTCCATTCTCTCATTTAGCAGGTGTTAATGTGATGTGACTTAAGATACGACAACCAAAGTTTGTATACAGAGCCATCATCACAGGAACATTGTTACCTGCCATACATAATGACCAGAGTCATTACATTCACAGCAATGTAATATAATATTGACAATAATGATACCTTTATTTACATAGTAGCTTTAAAAACAGTTTACAAATTGCTTTGACAGACAAAGCAAGGACAGGATACTCAGAAGGTAATATTTTACAACAGAAAGCCAGAAACTGAGGCCAAATTGAGGCAGAACGGAAATAAAGTAAAGGGAGGACAATGGTGTAGATGTAGAGGAAGGACAATGATAAAAAAAAGATTGTGGAATTTCCACAACAAGATAATGACGCTGAAAGCTATTAAACAACAAAATGTAATTAAATATAAAAATACATATAAAAATAAATACCAAAATACAAAAGAGGAAAAGATACGATAAGAGCAAAATAAATCTATTTTATATATATAATCCAAAAATCCAAATTATCTTTAAACTATTTAACCACTGACTAGCAGTTTACCTATGGCACCAAAACATCCAGGACAACCATTGCCCAACTCCTGCTGATGGGAGGACTGAAGAGCCAACCAGGGTGAGTGACACTTCTCTTTCTTTTATTTTCTTAGTTTAAAGCACAACAAGCTTAATATTTTGCTAGTTGTTACCTTGAATAAGTAGTTCCTAATTATTTCTGTACTAAATTTATCCTTTCATGCCTCTGCTACCTACTTTCATTTTTAAATAATATCTTAAATGGCCATGTATGGTAAGAAAATGTATGTTTAATTTTGCCAAGCACAATAGAAGCACAATAGAAGCTCCTACTTTTACTTGAATAATATTGTAACTATAGTACAGTCTTCTTTTTAATTGCACCATCAGACTACCCCTACCGTAAGTCATTTTAATGGCTTATTCAGGCTATTTCTAGGGAACTGTGATGTCAAACCAGGTCGTTATGAATACATTAGTAGGCTCTAACTCCCAGGTTGCAGTTGTCAACATCATCTCTCATCCCAGCATCCCTTCCTCTGTCACTCCCTTTCACGCATTGTTGCCAAATTAGGCTTTGTCCTCTTACAAACCTGCATGTATATGGTTAGGATTAGTTGGGGGTTATCTCTTTTGAAATAAGACTGAAATAAGGTTAAAGGCTTAGGTTTGACCCTCACTGATCCAGTAACTCAAGGTTGAGAAATAGGTTTGAGAAAAGCCAAAAACATTATATTTGTAGACAATATTATCATTAGCTAGAATATGTTAAGTCGCTTAGACAGTAACCACTACTTGGACATGGTATTTGTTATGAGGGTCTTGCATAATATCCATCTGGGTAGCAATTTTGTGATAATGTAGTTTCAGAATTAAATTGAAAGAACATTAACCTTGGTATGACCACTGAAACTGTGACCTACAAATAAATATACTTGTCCTTTAAAATGATGTTATCCTATAGAATCAATTATTTAGGACTGCATATCAGAGCATTTTATTTAACCTGCAGCACTGAGGTCAACAGTCATGTTAAATTATACCAAGGACAGTATGGTACAGTACAGGGTGTGGAAAAACCCAGAGTCATTTTGGAATAAAATAACACTGTGGAGAGTTCTCCCGAGAAATAATGGATTTGAAATTGAATTAATATCCCATTCAGCTATATTCTAATGAATCTGTACCACAAGTGGTCATAACTTATGGTTTATCTGGCAACAGTGTTCCATTTATCAAGAGCTTAATGAGCTACTCTGTTTACCCCACACCAAGTATTTAATGGGTTTGGTGGCTTTTCTGTTAATCAAATCCACTGCTGTGCTCTAGGATACCACATTTCATGCTGCAAAAAGCCTGTCAATATCACAAATACACAAGTATAATAGAGCAGTAATAGTTGTTGTAGTCACTGCTGTATGTGATATGTTATATATGAATTTTCACTGGTGGCTAACCCTCAGTGTTTCCCACTTTTTCCCCTTCAAGCCAACCTCACCTCACAGTTGGATGTTTGAGCTTCACTGTGCAGAATGATGTATGTGCAGAGTTTGACACTAGAAGGATGATTTCACGTTCATCACGCTGAAAGCGGAATGTTTCATGAATGTTTCAAAATCTCAATTCCAAACTAGTACGAGCATGGTTTGTGACATCGGAAATAGTTGTGGAGATCAGTACTGGTCCAGTATGCAGCTTATACAAGTGTGACTTAGAAACTTGAAGTGCACATAGGTCCAGCAGTGCACATACATTGAGAATGTAATTTACACTTAAGTAGGAGAGATCTTGTGTCCAGCAGGAAAACTTTAAAAATGAACAAAAGTTGCATATTCATAGATTATGGAACTTTTAATGAGGTAGAAGGAGTTGATGCCTTTTTATGGATTTACAGTAAATGTGGAAATTCTACTTTTTCAGCAAGAAAAATGTATGAGACACACATATTGTTCCAACCAGACTATTTATATACATATCTGGAGGGGATCTTCAAGTAGCTTTAAGGTGTTCTGGCAGAATATTTTGTAACAGCTTGTTCCAGCTCTTTACTGACGCTGACATTTACACTGAGGAAAAAATATCAAAAACAATATTCAACCTGCGTATTTGGTATCTTTAGAAAGTTTGGGATATCCACTAGAAATTAAAATAAAATACAACACAACAACAAACAAAGTTCTGTGGGTTTGAACAGGTTTTTGAGGTTTTTAAAGATGTTTTTACAGAAAGATGTTCTTTTATCCTTGTCTAAACCAGTGTTCATGCAATTAATTATTACATGCACAACAACACGTGTCAGTTTACAAATAGGCAGCTACTTCAGTTTGTGTCCCGTTTGTCCCTGTGATCGAATTTCATCAGTACAGTCAAATCAATGTCAGTTTAACTTCCTTCCCCACCTTCCACATTTCATTTTAGACAATCACCTCAAGACATTTGTAACATTGAGAAATGAGCAACCGTCCTCAGGTGCTGATGGAAGGTCACACCCACCAGTAGAGACAAGCAGAGTAATCCATAAGGTGATTTCTGGGGGTTTTGATCTGAAATTAGTCATATTAATGCAGCTTTTCGTTTCAGAAGCAGTTCAGAGATTTATTGTAGACTTGTTTTAGAGGGGTCACCTCATTTCCTGCCTGTCTGATATTTCCCCACTGTCCTCAGTCAGACTCATTTCACTCTGCTGATGTGTGTGGGTGTGAGTGTGTGTGCATGTGTGTGTGTTTGTGTTTACTCAGTATGTGTGCAAGCACTGATGAGATGCGCAGTGTGTTGGCCTGTTGGGTTAGAGCTTCCTGGAAGCCAAAACAGGGGACTGTGATTAGAATGCAAAAGCTGTCCTGCTGCTGTTTGGCCTCTTCCTCTGCTGTTTTGTCTCTGTCTGCATCTGCCCACCATATTTGTCTACAAATCAAACACACATACACACACAGACACAGGCATAGCTCTCATTGCATACTTGATTTTAACATGAATCTAACTCACCAAAAAAGAAGCCACACACAATCCCGTCTGAAAGAGTGCTGGGCTTTTACATACGCTAACATGCATGACAAAATGTCAGAGGTTGTTATGCATTGCAGGGGAAATAGAGTCATCTTATTACACGTTTTCTTCAAAAAGGACACAGCAGGAGTGCTGCCTCTGTGATCTGAGCTCAATATTGAAGTCTGTAGCAACAGAAAAGTCAATCAAGATTAGCTCTGTGAGGTCTCGGTCTGCCCTTCACGGGAGGCCATTTTCATTGTTGGATAGTTGTTCGGTGCAGCCACACAGAAGTGAAAA